AAAAAAAAAAAAAAAAAAAAAAAAAAAAAAAAAAAAAAAAAAAAAAAAAAAAAAAAAAAAAAAAAGTTCTGAAGGAAGCAAATAATTACCATTTGAGGTGATGGAAGACTGACCAAAGCTAGGCACAAGGGCATATGCCTATAATCCCAGCTACTTGGGAGGCTCAAGTGGGAAGACTTCAACTTTAACGTCAGCCTAGGTAATAAAGCAAGACTTCTGTCTCAGAAAGAAATGAAAAACAAAGCCCTCACTTTACAAGTGTGAGGTTCATAGTGATGTAATTATAAAATCCTCATTGATAGAACAAAGATTCCTTTACTTTATGAAACTTCTTAAAACTGTCAGTAACTCGAACTAGGCAAAATTTTTACATTCATGTAGAGAATTGGTCATCTTTGGAAAGTAACAGGGAACCAATTCATTATACTGAAAACTGATAAATTAAGGGAAAGCATTTATCTGGTTTTTTTTGCTTTGTTCTGGTCTTTTTGAGACAGGGTCTCCCTCTGCAGTTTAGGCTGGTCTTTAACTCACTTTGTAGCCCAGGCTGGCCTCAAACGCTCAATGATCCTCCTGCCTCAGCCTCCCAAGTAGTGGGATTACAGGTGTGTGGCACCACGCCCAACTGTTTTGGCTTTTTTTTAGTGGTGGTGGTACTGAATCTAAGGCCTTCACACTGAGCTATATCCCCAGGCTTTTATTCATTTTTATTTTGAGACAGGGTTTCTCTAACTTGTCCAGGTTGGGGTTGAATTTGTGATCTTCCTGCTTTAGCCTACCAGAAGGATCACAGGCATGTGCCACTACACCAGGCATATTTTAATTAAGTATTTATTTATGTTTTGAGACAAGGTCTTGCTATGTACTCCATGCTGGCCTTGAACTCACTGTGTGGCTCAAGTTAGCCTCAAACTCTGTATCCTCCTGCTTCAACCTCCCCCATACTAGGATTCAGGTGTGTGCCACCACTCCTAGTTGTGGTTGCTTTTTAATAAATATAATTAGTTGCATATTCGCTTTGCATGATTTTTTCTTTTTTCTTTTTTTTTTTGTGGTACCGAGGATCGAACTCATGACCTTGCACTTGCCAAGCAGGCTCTGTGCCATTGAGCTATATCCCCAGCCTGTGCATGTTTTTCTGTATATGTTTTATTTTAAAATGAAGAATGTTTAAAAGCTGAATATTGTGTGTATATTTTTAAAATGTGGTACTTTTTAAAATTTTTATTTTCCTTTTTGAGTCAGGATTTCACTGTGCAGTTCAGGCTGCCCTTGAACTTACTATATATCCTAGGCTGGCCTTGAACTTGCAGTGATCCTCCTGCTTTATTCTCCCCTGCCGGGATTATAGGCATGCACCAACTTGCCCAACTCCTAAATTTTTTTTTTTTTTTTTTTCTGGTGATACTGGGGATCAAACACAGGGGTGCTATGCTACTAACTACATCCCCAGCCATTTTTACTTTTTTTATTTTGAGACAAGAGTTTTGCTAAGTTACCTTAGTGAGATTCAAACTTGGAAGCTCCTGCCTCACTCTATACCAGTGATGGAATTACAGGTGTGTGCACCATGCCTGGCTCTTGTAGTTAAAATTTAAATCAAATGCACAGTCAATGTTCCCTCAATGTTATGTTATTAAAATACTTACTCCACAGTATTCAAGCATGTGGATAATTTCTTCTTCATAAACTGTCTGTGTGTAATATTGTTTTTCCAGCTCCCTCCAATTAACTGATTTACTCAGTACACCCTAAAATAATGAAAGTAAGATCAAATCATACCACATTGTCTTCAGCACTTTTATTTTTATTGATCACTGTGTACAGGAGAGTTAACATAGCACATGTGAGATAGCCTATCCTTAGAAAGGGCTGCTTAACGGGTCTGGGAGATTAAGTGGTAAGCTGTTCATTTACACCAATATATAACTTTCCCTAAATGGAAAGAAAGAGTGGATCATTTGTACCTATGCTGTTCGTACAAGCAATGTAGTTTCTGTTTAATACTACTTTCCTAGGGCCGGGAATATAGCTCAGTGGCACAAGCACCTGCCTGCCAAGCACAAGGTCCTGAATTAATTCCTGGTACCAAAAAAAAAAAAAAAAA